TCTAGTGGTCATGACATTTTTTTTTTTTTTTTGCATTTTCTGAACTAATGTTCACCTAGCTGCTTATTCCAGGCAACAAAAGGTCCTGTGTCAATTGAATTTGATTATTTCACCAGCCACACTACCTGGTTGCCTAGTTCCTTACCAGTTAGAGAAATAGTCACTGAGAAGTTCTGGTTATGTGCAGAAGGCTACACACAAAAACTGTGTGACCTTGGCCTCAACAAGCTTGAAATCTAGAGGGCAAAGTCATGAGTAAAGAAACTTCGCATAACCTTCAAACTATAGCCCTGATCTTCCCAAGTGCTACATTTATGGTTTTAGAAATGCTTAAGGGGAAAGAGAGATCACTGTGGATCATGTGGTAAAGTGAAATCTCTAGACCTTAAGAAACAACTTCATATTAATCTTAGTAGATAAACTAGCATTATTTGTACACTATAGAAGCTGTACATTTTAAGTGTAAGTTTAATCTGTTCTTCCTATTATGAGACAGAGCTTTTAAGACTTGATCCACAAAGCTAGCCAGGTGTGGCATGCCTGTAATTCAAGCACTGGAAAGGCTGAGGCAGGAGGATCAGCATGAGTTCGAGGCCAGCCTGGACTACAGAGTGACACCTTGTCTCAAAAAACAAAACAAAAAAAAACAAAAACTAATCCATAAAACTAAGTCTGGAGGCCGAGGCAGGTGGATTGCAAGTTTGGCCTATCCTAGTTAGGCAATTTATTGAGTTAGTGAGACTTTGTCTCAAAATAAAAAATTTAAAAAATGCAAAAGGCCTTGGGTTCAATCCCAGTACAAAACCAAACCAAACCAAACAACAACAACACAAAACAAAAACAAAAAACTTCCATAATCCTACAGACAACTATTTTTGTGTATTTCCTTCTCGTTGTTTTTAAAAAAGATATTTACAAAATATGTGTGATCAGGCCTATAGTTATTTAGTTTGCTTTTTCCCTTTTAAGATCATATCCTAAGCATTTGCTGTGAAGTGTCCACACATCTCTGAGAGCCCTTGTGACTGCAGTGTTGTGTCGTAACTTGCTGTCCCTCTCCAGGTCCTGTGCCCGAGGCCTCAGTTACTGGCTATGCACAAACTCTTTCCTGTCAGGATTTTCTTTCTTTGGCTCCATTTCCGGAAGTGGAGCTGCTGGGCAGAAAGGTAGAAACATTTTTCAGGCTCTTGATACGTTTTGACAAAATTTCCAGGTCACCACATGACTGTTGCCAGTGCTGAGGTGTGTCAGTGTTTTTTAATGCTAAATTGGGGGCAAAAAAATGTTATTTTATTGTTTCATTATAAACTCTTTATTATTCTTAAGCATGAGTATTTTACCATATTTATGGTAATTGTAAATTTATTTGTATTATCACTATTTACTTTGTTCTTTTTTCAAGTTTTTCTTATTTCCCTTGAATTTCTTTTTTCTTTTGTACCTGGGATCGAACTCGGGACCTTGTGCTTGTGAGGCAGGCAGTGGAACCTCTGAATAAATCCCTAGCCCTCCCTTGAATTTTTGATGTATCAAAACATTAACTTTTTAAAAAATGAAGTGTTGCTACAGTAGTTCTTTTAAAATAATATTCCTTTAAATGCTGGTTTTCAACCTGTAGGGTTTGTTCTTTTTGTATCTTATTTGTGGAAAACATTGAGTTTCAATTCCTCTTAGTAACTGATTTTGCATACTTTTCTGCCCTGTTAGTGGACCGCTGCTCAAGGGGTATAAACTACCTTTACTAAACTAATTTTTTTTTTTTTTTTTTTTTGGAGACAGGATCTCATTATGTAGTTCAGGCTGGCCTTGAACTCTATACTCCTGCTTCAGCCTCCCAAGTGCTGGGATTACAGGTGTGTGTCACTGCGCCCTGCCTGACTTTTTAAGAAAAATAAAGTTGCAAAGGTAAACCTATAAAATCTACCTAGGGTATACCAAAGTGTAGTAAAAATGCTTTCAGGAAAAAAAAATGCTTTTGAGAATATTTGCTTCTCTGGGTGATCTGCATCTTTTATTTTCTTATGGTGGTACCAGCAGAGTTGGTTGTGAGAAGATTTTTTTAAAAAATTTGATTTGGGCCGGGGATTTAGCTCAGTGGTTCTGGGGCCTGCCTCACAAGTGCAAGGTCCCAAGTTTGATCCCCGGTAACAAAAAAAAAATTTTAATTTGTTGAGGTGAAAGTCACATGTAGAAAGAGCCTAATGTTTAAAATATGGAACGTTGATACTGCTTGATTTGGAAAGAATGGATGGGATATGCATGTTCCGTTTTTAGTTTTAAATTTGTTTGGTAGGCCAGAAACTGAGGAGTGCTTATTGCTTCCCAGTGCTCAGGGTTTCTTCTTTTTAAAAAAATTAGTCTGGTTTCTCTGAAACGCAGACTTTTCACTAGGAGCTGAAAGCAGAGATTTCTGGGTGCTTTTAAATTTCTTCTTTCTTCCAAATTTGCAAGACCCCTTACCTCCTGTTTGTCATTACTGTACTGAAGTACAGAATAGAAAATGCAAAACAAGACAGCTGGACAGGGGGAGGTTTTTCTTTTTTGAGACGTTGACAGACGACTGGAACGGGGGTCACTGTTCTCGCCAGCTGAGAGTTCGCTTCCAGAAAGCGCTACTTTAGGGGAACAAGCGAGGCAGTGTGGCTGCCTCAAAGACTTAATTGACGCCGCAGCCGACGGCTTCTTGTAGCACATTGTCTCTGCGCGGTGCGGTGCCCTCGGAAACAGCTCTCCACATTTCTCCACCCCTTCGCTGCCAAAAGCTTCAAAAATTATTTTTGTTTCACCATTATTCTCAGTTTTCCAAGTGAAAGTCCTGAAGGGTATTTCTCTTGTTTTTTGTTTTTGTTTTGAGACAGGGTCTCTCTCTGGCTGGCCTTGAACTCACTGTGGAGCCCAGGGTGGCCTCGATCTCTCTGAGATCCTCCTGCCTCAGCCTCCCAAGTGCGAGTGCAGGGATTATAGGTGTGCGCCACTATATCCAGCCAACTCTTATTTGTTTTTGCTTATCTTTTGCCTTTGGGTGCCAGGCAACATTCCCGTGGTTCCCTGGGTAGGAACCCTGGGGCCTGGGCGAGGGTGCAGCTCCCTGACTCAGTGCTGAGGCACCCGCTCCGTGGTTTTCTGAAGTCAAATCTAAGTGCTGCTGCCAAGGGGGTGCTGGGTGGGAAGCAAGGCAAATTCAAGGCTGGTGATTTAAATCATGCCTGCTGCTTTCTTAGTTTTCTGAAGGTTGATCTGGAGAGCCCTCAGTGGACATATTAAGAGTTAGTAGATTTGTATCAGGGAAGGGGTGGAATCACTTAGAGACTCAGACTCTTCCCTGATGATGGCTTGATACAGAGGGGGCCGTTGCCACTGGTCTTCATCCCAGTGATAACAGGCTCTGCCATGTGCCCTGGTGCCCTGAGGATGGTGTACAGGAGCCCTCAGAGCGCAGACCCCAACAAACCAAGCTTGTCTCCTCCCCTGGAGTGCGCTCTTTGTCCCTTCTGCTGTGGCTGAAATTGCTTCGGGATGGTTAGGGAGCATTCAGGACCATACCGGGGAAGTAACAAGTTGAATAATCAGTTGTCCCTGCCTCTCTGGGCAGTTTGCTGTTACCTGGATTTGTCTGAAGTGGACAGATTTTCAAGGATGCCCATGCTGTGCAGCTTGCAGGAGAATCAGAAAACCTGGGCTCTGGTCTGGGTTGCTTTGGGGATGCACATGAAGAAGTTTGTATCCTACAGTTCAGGTCTGGAGAAGCCTTCACACGTTTGTGCAGGAAGCCCCTGCAGTGCATCCTTTGGATCGAGGTGGAGAGGGATGGATTATGCTGAAAACCCACCGATTTCCCAATAAAAAAGGAAGCCTCCAGGTTTGAGGGTCTGAGGTTGAAGGGGAAGCGGATTCCAAGTGACTCACAGATTTTTTTTTTTTGGTACTGGGGATCGAACTCGGGTTCTTAGCTAGCGAGGCAGGTGGTGGAACCACTGAGCTAAATCCCTGGCCCAAACCGGGGATCGAACTCCGGTCTTTGCGCTTGGGCAGCAGGCAGTGAAACCACTGAGCTAAATCCCTGGCCTGACTCACAGATTTTTGAGTAAGGTTGGAAAGGCTATTTCACTTTTTTTTTTTTTTAACAGAGTTTTACTGAATCACTAGGGCTGGCCTTAAACTTGAGATCCTTCTGCCTCAGCCTCTTGAGTAGCTGGAATTATAGGCATGTACCACCTTGCCTAGTGCCATTCCATCTTTGAGGATGAGCCTAGATTGCTAGAACTGTGACTCCATGACAGGAGAGGGCTTTGTGAAGGCCTTGACATAAGGAACACAAGTCATCAACTTCTGCATGGCTGCTGTAAGAGTTCGTACTTGTCCTTAATATTTGATCTCTCCTCACTTAAATCATATAGTTTCCTTTTCAAAAATTTTTTAGAGGCTTGCTGGAAGCAAAAGTAACAATCTTAACCATCTGCCACTTAAACAAGAAGAGATTTATTACTTTTAATTGAAAGGATGCTTGTTCCAACAGGAGAAGAGAGGCAGGCCCCTTGGCAGCTGCCTCGCAGCTGCTCTGGGTGTGTATTTTGGTCACTGCCCAGCAGTTCAGCTCTGGGGGAGGTGGGCTCCGGGAAGAGGAAACAGCCGCAGGAGTGTGAGGAGGAGAGGGCAGGGCTGGTTTGGGGAACAGTAAGGACAGTCCATGGGGACAGAGAGCGAGGGAGAAGGAGGCTGCAGGAAGAAGCAGGCTGCAGACCACAGAGGGCCTCTTAAACCTTGTTCAGAATCCAGCACTCTGGGTGGCCGGGGCAGGAGGATCTCAAGTCTGAGCCCAGCCTGTGCAATTTAGTGACTGAGTGAGACTCTGTCTCAAGACAAAAAATAAACAAGTGCTGGGGATGTAGCTCAGGGTGAAGGCCCTGGGTTCAATACCCAGTATTGGGGGGCGGGCTTTAAACTCCTGAGCAATGGGGAATAAGTATCGGATTCGAATTTTTTGATCACTCTGATTGCAGCATGGGGTGGATCCTGGGAGCAGAAGAATGAGAGGCAGTGTGACCCGAGGCTCATGAGCAGACTGTGGCAGGTGTTGAAGAGAGGGGCTGAGGGACTGAAGCGGCAGAGGCACAACCCTGAAGAGCAATTTTGGCATGGGGACAAGCTGCTGGGAATCGACCTCTCACAGCTCTGCTGTCCCAGGTACGGCCCACAAACTGCTGTGACCAGTAATGTGTCTTTTTTTTTTTTTTTTTTGGTACCAGGGATTGAACTCGGGTCCGTGCGCTTGCACAGCAGGCGATGAAACCACTGAGCTAAATCCCCGGCCCCAGTAATATGTCTTTTGATTGCATGAACTAGAACTCTCAAGCCTGAGAGGTGTCTGAAATAAAAGAAGTTTATTGAGTCATTAGAGATGAGCCAGAAAAAAAGGGACGACTCCTGGGACAAGCGCCTGTCCCCAGCAGGGAGGACAGGTGGTGGGTGAGAGACTGTTCCCCTCGGTTCCAGAGACTGAGAGCATGGAAATGTTGGGGGAAAGAGGGCGCATGATGTTGCCACCGACCGCTCCTTGGGTGTGGAGAAGAGAGGTGGGACACAGCCAAGCTTGGGTTAGGAGGGTGCTTGGTGAGTTCTCACAGCTGCCTTTTTCTTTTTCAGGAATAGGGATTGCGTCCAGGGCCTGCACCCTAAGCCACATGCCTACCAGTTTTTAATTTTGTATTTTGTGACAGGGTCATGCTGAGTTGCCCAGGATGGGCTTGAACTGTGATCCTCCTGCCTCAGCCTCCCCAGCTGCTGTACTTAATGTGTCTCGGTTGGTGTTTGTAGGTAGAATGTGAGGTTACCTTTGATGGCTGTTCTGTTTTGGGTCCAGCCTAGGGCCCCACACGTGCTGGGCCAGCTCTGTGTGACGAGGTGCGTCCTGGGCCTGGTGTTAGCCAAGGTGTCTGTGCACTTTTAGGAGTGGGGAGCAGATGTTTTAGCTGGTTTGGCCACAAGCTATCAGAGATGAACTTCTCTTACTTCTCTTCCTCTTCGTTCTTTGATCCTTACAATTAAATTTAGGACAGCTCAGAATTTTTGTCTTATTGATAACTAACATTTAACTGCTGGGTGTGGTGGCACACGCTCGTGATCCCAGTACTTGGAAGGCTGAGGCAGGAGGATCACTACAAGTTTGAGGCCAGTCTGGGCTACATAGTGAGTTCAAAGACAGCTTGAACTACATGGCAAAACCCTGTCTCAAAACTAAAACAAAAACATTTAACTCAATGTTCTGAATTACCAAGTGTTACTCTTTTAAAATAATTATATGAAAATAATCTGGCCCTCTAGATTTTGTTATTCAAGGGCGAAGCATCATCCAATCCCGTAGTTAGGCTGGGGCAGAGGAAATAAAAGGGCAGTGATCAGATTTGGGAGGAGAAGGAGGGTCTTTCTGTGTAGCCCAGGTTGGCCTCTAAATCCTCCTGCCTTGGCCTCCTAAATGATGGGGTTACAGGTGTGTGCCATGGTACCAGGCGCAACAAGATAAGCTTTTTTGGGGGAAAAAAAGATTTGAGTTAAAGTTTTTCATTTTTAACTGAAGGAAGATTGCACGCTAGGGTAGCGTCTGAGTAGCACTAGCTGTACCATGAGACGGGAGCTTCCGCAGCCAGGGTCAGCACCAGAGGTGGGTTCTGTGTGCTCTCTAGAACTTTTTGTGCTGCCCTAAACTTATTTCTAATTTCTCTCTCTCTTTTTTTTTTTTTGGTACCAGGGATTGAACTCGGGTCCTTGAGCTTGCGCAGCAGGCGGCGAAACCACTGAGCTGAATCCCCACCCCCCTAAACTTATATTTAATATTTTTCTTTTACAAAAATTAGAACATGGGCCTGGGATGTAGCTCAGTGGCTCTGTGTTTGCCTCGAAAGAGCAAGGTCCTAAGCTCCTCCACCGCCATCCCAAGCTCCTAGGGCAGAGAAGGTGAGCCACGTGGGCGCCAGAAGCACCGCCCCCCCC